ACCCTTAGTTTCCCACTCCTGAAGTTCATCAAGTACTTTCTTTTCATCAGCCACTGGAAGCCCCAAAGAACGAATTAATGTCTCCATGAGTTGGAAACTGTGGTTGAACTCCGGTTTGTTCCAGTGATCAAAGTTACAGTGTCCCCACTCGTTTCTTACTTCGGAGCGCACATCCTTAGCATTTGTTTGGATGCGCGTATGAAACACAGAGGAGTTGGCCAGCATTCCTAAAACTGCTGACAAGTCGCATGTGTTATCAAAACCTGAAAATAGGCAATAAAATTTATACTTTAAGTAAGCCCAAGGAGTAAGATATGTTTACAAGATACATTATCAGTAGAAGCCTTCTGAAAGTCTTCTTAATCTAAAAAGATAACTGCTGGATTGCATCGTTTAGTGCTCATGCCATCTCAGGTCAAATTCAGCCATTATTCAGTAGGCTCATTTAACTATTGTTACACTCTTGCGTAAGCCTGAAGCTCCTGCTTGTCAAACCGCTGCCAAAGTTACCCTAACTTTACACAACAACTTGAGCAGACTTCACATGTCATGGCTAAAAAGCGAGATAAAGCCGTAACCGAAGAGGGGATTTTACCATGATCAATTTGTGAACTAAAGAGAAAGATCGAGTCAAAGCATTAAAAAAGCCGTGTAAACGATATCCTGATCTGTCAGGATAGTTTCCAAGTTGCAAGTATGGCTCTTGACTGACTTCAGAGTCTCGTTGGGCCGAGAGTCTCTTCGACATGTGTCTAAGGCCAAGTACGCCAAGCGACCTGTGTCAGAGATTGACGCGCCAATAAGAAACTGCAGGCTGATCTGGAACGATTTCATATTCCCAGATTTGTTCCTTGTCATTATATTCCACTGTAAGTTATAATTAGCAAAAAGATCGACTAGAGATTCAACATTGGCGTGGTCTGTACTCTTAGTGACAAATTTTGACTGTGATGACGAATATCGTTGTCGATAAGAGTACAGACCACGCCTAACCACTATCAGTTTGTTTTTTACCACAATATCAAAATGTCCAAGTCACCCATGTTTGACAGCTTGTAAAGACATTGCGTGACACGTTGACGCAAGCAGCGTTGTTTGTACTCTTATCGACGATGGCAAATCGGCCAATTACATTGCGAAATTACCGCCAATTTTCGTAACTAATCATTCACCTGTAAATTTGGCCATATGTGGTTCAAGGTAAAGTTTGGCCAGATTCTCAGCAGACGCCACTTTATAATCATATAGTTGCACTTTCCTCTTGAATCTTCCCCAGTTGTTGTTGATACTGCCATAGTTTAAATCAAATGAACCATCTTTCTTCATGTGAGTGGAATAAACCTGTTTATCTATTCCACTGGAGCTCTTCAATGATGTGTAGTGTTTAGCAAGTTCCTTGCCCGCAAAGTCACGGAGAACTGGTAATAGAAGCCTATTTAATGTGATTCCAATCACAACCCATCTTTTTTGTTTGTCACTCAAATCAAAGCTGCTGACTGTAAGAAATTACAAAAGAAAACAACAGTTTTTGCCACAGACTGAAATAGATCTCACTTGAAATGTAGGTTAACATTGAACTTTAAGATTTTAGGTTTACAATTGAAGCATTTGGGGAAATCTCACCATTGGTTTCGAGAAAGTTGCCAATTTCATAGACTATGAATACTCATTTGTCTTTTTTCAAGCGAGCAAATACATACATCTATGATTCGAATTTTACTGTAATAGGGAAACGGTAAGTATTAAACATGCCTCCTCACTACAAAAGTCAAAAAAATCTGCAAAAATCCAGAAAAAGATGTTGGAAATGATGTTGGATTAATAACATTCTGCCTAAACTTCGCCATATGTGAAGTGAAGGCTCAAATATGAGGTTAGGCATGCAGGAATTGGCCTCCTTTTCCTCTTTATTTGGCACCTGGCATCAGTTTGTTTTCTTGCTTGGGCTTATAATTACTGAGAAGTAAGAACCATTCATACTGATCATGTAAACTTCCATGTGCCGAGGATACATTTTCATCAATTTTTTTCCTTACAAATTCATTTAACAGCGATCAAGGAAAAACATGATCAAAACAACACTGAAGTCAGTGATCAGGGGAGGGGGGGTTCTTTCTAGTAATAGGCTAAAGGGGATGTGCCATTGGATGGGTTCATATCATAATTGTGTTACATTTTCAATAGAGTTACAAAAGTAGTGGTTGGAGGAAACACCAAATATAAACTAATATCAAGATCCTTCAGAAGGCACTCTTACACTCCACTACCGACCCTTCATCAGATTGGGAAGAAGTTTGGCTCACAATAGAAGACTAAAGGTAACAAAAGCTACTAAGAAGCTTGACAAAAACAAAAGCTAAAAACAAAGACAATTATATAATAACTTGTAATCCTGGTGCCAACAAAAGTTGTTTTTTGCTGTTGTCAGATGATGTATGCAATCAGGTGTCACTCTTTGTCGATAACTCCACACCAAAGGGGTAATCTTGTTCACAATTATTAATCATCGTGTTTGTTTTCTCTAAGGCTACACTAAGTCTTTTCAACAAATGGAGTTGCACATTTTCTGGATTTTGAGGCTAAAAAAATTCCAGTAAGTAGGGATTCAAAAGTAGTATGATTCTTTACCCTTTGGTTGGAATCACAAAATTACATTTGCCCAAAAGTCACTAAACTGGGGTCTATAACTGGCCACAGAATGCACAATAATGGAGTAGGGGTTCTGAGAGGCCATTGGCACAAACCCAGCAAAAATTGACCCAATTAACCCCTACCTCCCCATGGGTCAGTGGTATAATATTTTTTCTGAGTCACCAGACAGAAAATGTCAAAATTCTCCTGAAAACAGAACTACCTGCCACCCAAGGGCCCAGAGATAAGGTATGGATTTTACAGTTAATTAAAAGTAAATAAGAAAGTTATTCTACCCACCAGGGCCTGCTGCTACCGCTGAGGGACTGGTGAGAACTGTGGGTATGGCAGGTGGTCCTGGAAGTGTTGTTGGCACAATTGAAATAAGGCTTTTGCTTGTGCCTGTTGCCATGGCAGCCTAAAGAGTGATCAAAGCTATTAGCAAACTAAGTTATTAACATAGTTATGAATATGAAGCTATGCCCACATATTTCTTTCAATGCATATGAAATTAATGAAAAAATAAGATACTGTAATCAATACATATGCAAAATAATGGAACTAAAATCATCAAACCTTTAGGGGGTCATAATCACGTTCCTTTTTGAGGAAGGGATGATAACAGAATCACAGAGGAAGGCACTACCTTCTTTTTTCATCATCATTTTCACTTATTTAAAAAATAACACTACAAAGTTGGAGTTAATTCATGTCAAAATATTGTACCTTGTAATCAAGTCCCCTTGAGGCTGATTGATCAAGATCAATTTACTCCATTTACTAACTCAGCTAAAAGATATAAAAAGAAGATAATTTTGTCACTCATTTGCCAATTTTCTTTGTGCCATTGGGAAAAGCTAATACTTTTTATATCACAATGTGAAAGGTATATGACTCACATACTGTAAATGCTAGAATCAGTTGTCTGTGTTTAACAAAACTACTGCCGATTGACAAATCATGAGAACAGCATGATTGGTGAATTATAAGCTTGGTCAAATAGAATAAAGGAAACATTAGATACTTTTCATGAGTTGTTATATCAAAGAACACAATTTCTAATTCACAAGCTACAAGTGGAGTACTTTGTTGAGATTTGTTGTTTCCTCATTCATTCAGTGCTGAGGCTTTTGTAGCTCACAGTCAAAGCTCTGTGATTTTTTTCTCAATGTTGTCGACCTTTGATTGATTGGAAGTTTTAATTGTGCCAGGTTCATTCTTCTTGAATAATCAATCACATTTAAGACCATTTCAAGCTAAAAATAAGAACTGGTGAATTCAGGCCAGAAAGTGGGAAGATATAATAATTCTACAAACATTACTTATCGCTGGTTATAAGGGGTAGTAGTATAGGTATATGTTTATCACATCCTTTGTACCCAGCCCCGTTATTATCGTTTGTTTTGCCCAATCAGCATTTTGTTACACACTTTAAATTCAACTTTGTACTTTGTATCATTCCGAACTGAAGATGACAGAAGACCTGTCGAAACATGTTTTTTAATTTTAAACGTGTCGTTCATTTTCTTAAATTCGTTACATATCTGTTTCTATCCAGATCATTTAAGTATTACCAATTAAAACTGAACTGTAAATAGCATTTGGCATCGATTAACCGAGGGTTTGACAATTATGCGTGAAGCATAACTACACTGATAAAATATTACAAGATCGAATGAATTTGAGCATAGCCCATCCCCTTAGTCGAGAAGAAGCTGAAGTCTGATCCTACTAGCTGTACTTGCACAGGTATATTTGACCGTTTCGACTCATCCTTGCCAAACGTTTTGAATAGCATCCAAAAGTTTCCATTCACTTACAGGGGCTTAAAACATTTCCTTCACCCCGCCATCTTAGAGTGCAGTCGAATAACATCGTCAACATCGTCGGGAATTTTTATATAAAGCTGCATCCAGGGAACCCCAATCCTTCTCGACATTTTAACTTACCTAACAATAAAGCCTTGTATGTTATCTAGAGTAAGTTCCTCCAAAACTTGCAGGTATCGAACATGAAATCTGCGTTCAACGCAATGCTGGCGCCCTACTACTGAAAATTTTTCCGAGAAGTGACGTGTTGGGTATTCCCCAAGTTTTGTTTTCGATTCCGGGAAAACCGGAAATACATGGAAATATAGGAACAGGACTGGAAGTAGTAGGAAGATGGAACAGCGGATTTTACCAATACCATGTCACTCTATTAAAATAAGAGAAAAGGTGTTATTTCAAAGAGATTATCGTTTTTATCGTTGAAAATATAGGCTTCCATACACAGAGGTAGGTCAGATAAATTTTTATTTCACGTGCAGGAAGCACAAAACCTAGCAGAGATGCTAGGTACCTCACCCTCATCACGCTCCAGCTCCGTTCCAAGGAAGCAAAAATTCGTGTTTATTGAAGCTACAAATTATATAAATAACAGGAGACATTATTGGTAAGTGCCTCATAATTCACACTTTAGTCACTGTAGTACTCAGTACTATTTTTAAAAGTTCAATTCTGTTGAACGGAATCGGTGTCTGCTTCCAAATCATTATTCGTTTCCTTTTGATATCTTGCTCGTTCGTTGGCCATTGCAAGTTGTCGCATGTTCAACAGACATCCCGCGGCAGCTTCTTGTAAAGCTGCATCCTCCGAACCTATCATCTCCAGTAACAGCTAGGAACAAAACACAAGATTGATTGACACCGATCAGCGGTCTTACTGGCTGCTGTCAACTATAATTACATTGAAAGCTAAATATGGATTGGAAGCCATCAATGACAACCACGAGAAGGTATCGTTTCTTATCAAAATTTCAGAACGGTGAACTCTACGCCCTTTGTGGTTACGAAAAAGAGAGCAAGAAGGATCTGGCTCTCCTCACAGTATACTATTTATTTCCATTATCATCGTTATTATTATTATTATTATTATTATTATTATTATTATCATCACTTGTTATGACAATAATAATAATAATATTTAATACTTATATTGCGCTTTTTCTATAAAAATACTCAAAAGCGCATTACAATATTATTAAAAACTAAATTAAAACCAGTAAATCATAAATATCATCATCATCATAAATATTTTGGCGCCATACGAAGCTATCCTAAGTTTCGAGAAAATAACCTGAAAATGTGGGAAAATTAAAACATTTAAAAGGGTAGTGTGATGAAAATGATGAACGAGAATGAACACGGATGAAGTACAGAAGGAGTCATTCTGCCGTTAGAGTGAGCTAACACTTCTGTGTTACCTTGACAACCCCACTGCGGTGCATAGTGATGCAGCTATCAGGATGTTTGCCCAACTGCTCGAGAGCCCGCATTGCCGACCGCTGTACTATGATGTCATGTGACCCAAGGTATTCCACCATTCTTTCTACAGCTCCTTCCTGGGAGAATCGCTTCGCGTTGTTTCCCCATTTGCTGCACATTGCAATAGCTTCAGCCAAATGTCGCCTCAAAATGATGTCAGTCTGTAAACAAAGCAAATAATTTCTCTTCAAACTGGTGAGCGTTTGTAGGCTCTCTTCGTACCCAAATCATCTCGGCAATCATATGGCAACTTAGTTCTATAGTAATGAGTTAACGACTTACCTTATGCGTGAGTTTAGCCAGGTGAGAGACAACCTCGTAATCAGTTATGACTCCCAAGTTTTCCCAATCACATGCCACAACTGATATCACTGCGCATGCGCTAGTAAGGACCTGAAAACGTTTCAATGTATTTAGTTGGAGTAGTCTAGAGTGATTTTTACTGACTGAAATTTTTTTCGCTGTCGCTCGTCAGCTATGATAAACAAAGGAAGAGCAAAACTAATTTGTAAGCTACCACGTGTAAAATGGTTGAAGTGAATATATTTACTGAGATAACCTCCAAATCGGCAGACTTGAGCAGGCGAACAGTCAGATCCAGTCCTCCAACAAATGATCGCGCGGTTTCCCAGGCCTCCTACGAGTCAAAAAATTGGTTGCGGTAAAATATTTCGTGGATACATTCCATTATGTTGTCAGACGGTGATGTTGCATTTTTCTCATACCGGTGTATCTTGCATCAGTCTGTATACAGCCCATGCTCCACCAGAGACCACCTAATCAACAGGAAAATAAGTCATATCATGAACAGGTATTAAACTGGATGTCTAGATAAATTGTAATCAATTATAGGTCTAAACAAAAATTCTGCTCACTTGATTGTTCCTTGATTTCATAAGAGACCACAGAAGCCTTAGGCCTTCCAATCTGTTGAAAACTCTGAAAATACGGACATAAATAAATGAGTTAATATTAGAATAATCGGGTCTCATGTTAGAATAATCGGTCTCCTTTTGAGAAGGAGGCACATGGCTATTACTTACGCTCGGCAGCTGCTGTTCGCGGCGCATGCTGCGATGGCTCTCGCCGCTGTACCAGTTAGCTCTTCATTGGGGATATTCAGAATGTCCACTAAGGTTTTACATCCCTTGCATCGTAAAATTTCCAGCGGAGCCTTAGGGTCTTTGGCAATCTCTCCAATGGCTCCAACAATATGGAGTTGAACCTTTAGTGAAAAATGAGCAAAATTTAAGATATCATCAGTTCCTATTGAGGGAAGTGGGTGGGGAGGGCAGTCTAGGGCATATTTATGATACCAATGACCAAGTAACGTGTATTTCTACATACAACTCTCTGAACCCCACAAGTCAAGATAAGATAAGGTATCAAAAAAGTTAGGTGCCTAAACGTGTAACCTCAAAAGTGATCCTAAAAAAAAAAAGAAGAAATATTACTGATATTTAAAACTTGAAATCAATCGATTTGTTACCACACAATCTCGAACACTAAAGGAAAATTTCATGCAGCATCGCCATATTAATTGTGGATTTCTTTTTGACAGAGCTAGTAAAGATTTTTTACACTTACTTGTTCAGGGAGGTCCTCTTCTTCTTCTTCATTATGAAGTAGATTAACAAGTATTTCTAATACCTTCATCTCCATCAACCTAGATCAAAAAGAAAGACTTCCAGTTTTTTGCCACAGAGGCATTCTCACGAAAGTTGGAGTCAAAAGCTCTAGGAATTCGATCCTTCTTTTAAACTAGTTTTGCAGTATCAAATGAGTCATACAGGCCGACGAGACGACAGTTTACTAAACGAAGACACAAAACCCAAGGTTGTTTTCCCAGAAGAACAAAATTCTACCCTAGTGACCGAAGCCAAAATGCTTACTTTTTGACATTGTAATCGCTGATAGCACATTTCCAAATTGCACCTGTTACGGCCGCCAGCAGCTTCTTATTATCATGGCGGGAAAGAAGTGAAACAAGCGTGTTCAGGCCCCCGCAGTCATATACAGCTTTCCTTGTTTGTTCGTCGACAGCACACTACGGAGAAATTGTGGAAAAGTTAAACAGACAAGAGAAGAGGTAGTAAGTTAGGTTTATGACTTGAAATACCTAGAATGGAGTGCCTTCGTCTGAAACTCTGAATGTCTCTATCTCTCTGTCATCGTTTCTAGGCACGATTCGTTGATCAGTGGTAGCGATGGCCAAAAGGATCGCAGCCATGGGGTTGAGCGTGAAAACTTACCTTGAATATGGCGTTGGCGCAGTAACCCTGAAGTTCTTCGTTGTCGGTCAACAAGCGACGAACGATCGCTGCTATCATTTTCTCTTTGTAGAAAGCCTGTCTGAAGCGAGTCTGACAATGAGAAGTGATGATAATGAGAGATCTGATTCAACTATAGCAATTCCATCAGCGACTTTTGATTGAGACGCATTCGATACAAAGTAAGTTGCGTTTTCACTGTTATTTTGAATCATTTTCAATTAAACGTTGCTGTAAGAGTAAGAATTATTCAATAGGGCACATAACATGTATATTATTTAGCTATGTTATGTCTTAATGAATATCACCTCCACTGCACATTCTTGAACAAGTCCTACGATAGGAACAAGGAACTCGTCTTTGTCCATGGTAATTAGTCTGGCTAACATTGGTACGCTTCCGGCATTGAAAATTGCTGACCTAAGAGGAAAAGATTAGAAAAAGTTAGAAACATCGCCGAAATTTCTTCTAAACGAACCGCATTTTGATAAGAAATACTGTCGTCTTTATTCGCAGTTCTTGTGCACCTATGCTACTTATGTAAAAGTTACAACCAAACACACTTGACACAACCGACCTACTGCGCGTGCTCTTGCTGCAGCTCCAAAGCGCAAGGGCAGCATTACGTGCAACTTCAAGGTCCGCTCCAAGTTGGCCTGGAGACCCATTACCAGAAAGTTTCCTTCCAGTAGGTTGTCGTTCTTCGTAGTTTAGCAGACCAACCTAATACAAGAAATGTACGCATTTAGGAGACTTAGAGGATAAATGGTCACGTGTTGTACGCTTGGATCGTACTTTCTAGAATCTATAAATTTGCAAAGATGCTTTCAGCCGGAGGTCATCCACTCTCCAATGTATGAAGCGACCAGGAGTATTGCACCCCTCCCAGGATGAGACGCCAGTCCAACGTGGATTACCTCCTCAGTATTTTGTTGGGTTTCCTCAACAGTTCCCTGTACCCATTTATACTCCAGAGTGGAGAGAGGCACTGGGGAAAGTGACTTGCCCAGGAACACAACACAGTGACTTAGCCAAGACTCGAATCTACACTTCTGCCCGTGTATGGTCCCTTGGAAATATATACAGGTCCCTGAAAATTGTGTGGGGAAACCCAACGAAATGCTGGTAATTATAATATATACATGGTAATGTTGGATTTAATTTCTAGCTGATGCCTAGCATAGCTCTTTGAGAGTAACTTCGTTTCCTTGAAAAGCAGAAAGAAGAGAGCACTGGAAAGTTTTTTACTGGGAAGGTTTAAGACCCTTTGATCTAAAAATTTTCCCAGCTCCTGATCTCACCAATGTTTGTAATCCACCATGTTTTTTTAGAATATTTCTTCCTACACTGGATTTTGCCATGTTAGCCAGGTTAGCTGCCGCTAAACTTTGCACCTCCTTAGGAGCATCAGTTATGAGATCGATCAGGATCTGAACGCCTACAAAACGAAAGATCATCGTTGAAATGAAATTATCTATTCTGATTGAGATGTTAAACTTTGTTTTTCAAGTATGAGATGAAAAAAATGCTATCACTACGCTGACTGAGATTCGTTTGGGAGTGAGGTCATTTATAAGACTCATATGTGGAAAAACCGTCCTGTCATCTGCAAAGAACGACAATGTTGGAAGAGGCAACTCCTAATCTCCGGTCGAAGAAATATATCACAAAAAAAAGTGATTTGATAAAGATTTGAAAATTTCTGAAATTTTTTGTTTAAGTCTCTAAAATGGAACCTGTGTTATTGACAAAGGGCATTGTAACAAGGTTTTGAGGGCTTTAACTCTTAACCCCTAAGAGTGACCAGCATCTAATTTCTCCTAACAATATCACCCCTGAATCACACATAAAGGTCACAGGAATAAAGGGAATGATCACCAACTATAGAAGCTCTTGAGTATTAAACAAATTCTCCTTGTCAGCACCTTAGGAAATGTATAGAGAGCGGTAGGGAGAATATACATGTTGTAGGTATAGGGTACAAAGGGTTAAACTAACCTCCCATTTTGATAACAGCTCGCCTGTTGTAGATGCTACTTATGGTCAACTGTTGGAGAACCTTCAACGCACCGATCTAAAAAAACAGAGGATAAATTAAATGTCAATGGGACGGGTTCAGTTGAAATTTTCAATTGCGTCGCCCTTTTTTACTTAAGTTAAGGCGATTGGCGATGTACCGATCAAAAAGTTGTGAAAATACAATGATTCATATTTCTGCTTCCAAGAAAACCATATTATGTTACATAGTCCATCCTGTGCCGTTTGCTGTTTCATTTGCCAATTTTGTGCGTATATTTCTTTGAAGCACGTGTAAATGAAGCTCTTCCTTTCAGTCTGAATTGTCATATCTCTCCCCGTCCGGTCCCCCGCGCCTCTGCTGAGGGGTTAGGCGGGGTGGGGGTGAAGAGGGAGGGGGAGCAATCCTCTATTTGTTTAGTTGAGATCTAGAGATCCACCGTCCAAAAGTCGTCAAGATTGTAATGCGTGTGGTTGATTGTTGTTCTTTGATCGGTATAATATTAAGAAACAGCATCAATCCAAACCTGACAATTCTCGTGGTCTGTTCTGAGAATATTAACAAGAACTGTCAATCCGTTCACATCGCGAATGGCCATTTGGGTCATTTCTTGAGTTAAGTTGAAATCCGTCAGAGCACACAATGTGATGACCGTGGCGACTTGGTTACCATTCTGAAAACAGGAAAATGATTATGGGAAATTATGAATCAGTTGGATAACATTTTTTTTTTGTATTAGTGTGAGTTCCATTTGTCAGATGGCATACTCTCACCTTGAGGAACCTGACCAGCCTTTGTATTTGCCAATATTCTGAGGGAAGGTCAGCTACGCCCTGTAAAACAAAGAACAATGTAAAACAATTAACCATGATAAACGCACAATGAAAAAGTGATATATTCGTTCGCTCGTTAGTTCTTTTGCGTTCTTTCTTCCCTTCGTTTTTTCATTTGTTCTTTCATTCGTTGCTTCGCTCACTCGCTCATTCGTTTATTCGTTAGTTCGTTCGTTCCGTCAATCGTTCGCTCGCTCGCTCGCTCGCTCGCTCATTCTTTAATTCGTTCGTTCTTTCAGTCAATTGTTTGTTCGTTCGCTCGCTCGCTTATTTGTTTGTTCGTTCGTTCGTTTTCTCGTAAGCTCGCTCGCTCGTTTGTTCGTTTCGTCAATCATTTGTTTTCTCGTTCGCTCGCTCACTCGTTCGTTCGTTCCGTCAATCATTCGTTCGTTCGCTCACTCGCTTATTTGTGCACTCGTTCGTTTTCTCGTTCGCTCGCTCATTCGTTAGTTCGTTCTTTAGTTCGCTTGCTCGCTTGCTATTACCAGCTATTCAATGCACATGCTCACCACTTTCCCGTCTAACACCCGGTCATCTTCTTCTTCACTCTCGGTTGAACTTTCCGCAGGCTCCGATGGAATTCTGAACAAGGTGGACCGCCGGCTTTGCAAGTTTTGCTTGTTGCTACGGCTTACAATAAAAGCAAATGAATAATAAACTAGTGAAACAAATTTTCTCAAAATTTTTACTCGTAGACTGAATTTTTAACTCGATGAATTGAATGAGTTAGTAAATGGATGAGTGAACGACAAAGAAAAAGTCGCAATCAGACCACCAATTACGTGAAGGTAACAAATTATAATACAAGGGCGATCCGTTTTCTTACCTTTCTTTGCGGTTTTGTTTTGATTTCGGTTGTGGCTTGTTGGTTTCTTTCACCTCTTCATCACTACAACAGTTAGGAAAAACAAGATACAGCGGCTATTATAGGCCTAGGTAAACATTTTAAGATCCTGAAGTTCAAATGATAACTTCAGGAAGAAGTGACTTCAAGATCGTGGTATGAGGTCTTTGTCAGGTGTACTTTAACTCTTTTACTCCCATGAGGGACCAAGACAGAATTTCTCCTTACAATATCAATACAATGTCAAGCAGACAAGTGATGAGAATAAAGAGAAATATCAATTAGGCAATCATTAGTTGACCTACGACCAAATTCTCTAAACTAACATCATAAGAATTGTATGGCAGATAGTAAGGAGAATTACTAATTAGATCTTGGGAGTGAAAGTGTTAAGCATTTCTTGGAGGAAAGTAAGACTAGTGCGACAAACCACATTGTTGAACAATCAGGGAAGGCTTGCAACACACAAAAAATAAACAGGCTCAGAGTCTGTTGCCTCTTACCTGTCATCACCGACAACCAGCCTCAAGTTTTTCCATTTCATAGAAGGTTTTCGCGGAGTAAACTGCTTCTCGCTTTTGGGCGTGTTTGTTTTCTTTTTCACCTTTTTTTTCTCTGGTTTTCTGCAAACATTATTTTAGTCAAAATATATTATTTTATTATTTTTTTTAATACAGTTCATTTCAGGACAATATGCTTTATGATGCCATGGCTTGCTACTTAGCTCGGCTGACGACACTCATCAGTTTGACTTAAAGACAACAGAAATGTAGGACGCACCTTTCTACTTGTTTTTCTTCCTCTTCCTTATTTTCTGCCACATCATCTTCAGTTTCACTACTGCTCAAATATTTGTCAAGGAAGGAACTCTATAGGCAAATATGCAGTAAAAGTTGATTCATCTCAGCTGAGAGTGCCTCAGTCAGGTCTTCTAAAAGCAAGACCCCCTCCCCCATCGTAAATTCTGGCATCTGATTGGTTAAAACTGGTGCATTGAACCCAGATCTAGGGTAAGCTGCGCTAAATAAGTTTTCGCGCCAAATCACGCGGTTGCATCATGGTTTAAGCCCGCTTCAAATCATAGTTTGTACTGTGGGCTCACTGATAATCTCTTACAGGGGACTATAGAAGATTGACTGCCAATGAGGAGGAATCATTAGAATATTAGAGCGCCTTATGGGGGGATTAGGTAAATATTACTGTTAAAATCCTCTGACTCCAGGCGATAAGTAATAGCGGGTCCGTAATATTGTTCGCAGTCATTCTTTCGTGATTTTGCGCATTGCAGATCTTTGCAGTTGCGTCGTCTTTTTCAGGAATCAGAAACATGACCTATCACCCATAATGCCCTGATAGGTGAAGCTAACACTGCGCACGCTCTTTTTTTATTCAGGATCTTACCTGTTTCTTTTCATCGGTAGTTTCCTTGTTTGAGGAGTCCACCGCACCCTAAGGGTTATTCACATTTCATTTTAACATTTGCTATAAGTTTAAGAGTGAAAAAAAAAATGGGAAAAGAAACAAAATTCTGATTGACTTTTGGAGGAAAATCTCGAGCAGGCTTCAGAATTAATTTTGATTCTTTATTAATTTTAATTTTTGGTATCAAAAACAGAGTCTATAAGAATACCTAATGAAAAAATGGGGTAAGTTTCTAAAGAAACTGTGGTCCTGCGTCGGTGAGAGAGTGTAACAGGGTAATTTAGTATTATTAACTGAGTCGATAACGTAAATTGGCCATCGTAAACAGTTTAAAAGCTGACATTTCGAGCGTTAGCCCTTCATCAGAGCGACGAGCTGACGCCTTGCCCAGCGAGCACAGCATTAAACAACAGTAACGTTTCCCATACTTGTTCCGAGGCAGTCGTGGATTCTATCGTTGGGTTGCTTTCACTTTTATCCTGAATCTCTTTGTTATCCTGCAAATTTCAGAAATTGAAGAATGCAAATAACTTCACAGCATACACAGTTATGTGGGCGAGCTGACTTGCAGCAAAAACTCACTGCCGGCAGATTTCCATGGAATTCTAGTATACTTGCCTTGATCTTTTCGTCTTTGTCAGGTTCGAGCGCTGTTGAGTTAATCTGAGTTTCGGCGCTGCTTTCCTTTCCAATCTCTGCCATCTCCTATTAAAAAAATAAGATATTAAGTTAAATTGCTCAGTTCGGGAGCAGTCAGCTTTATTCTTAAAAGTCTACATTGTTGCGTCTCCCTTCATCTCATGGTAGTTCGTCTCTGGAAGTCTTCGGGAAGTCTTCGGCTATTCTCGGCCATTCTCGGTCTGATATCAAACTACGCAAAAACGGTTGAACCAACCTCAAAGCGCGTGTCCATTTCATTGTCATCGACTTGTGACATCATGAGTTTTGATCTATAATTTACAAAGACACAAAAAAGCATAGATATTATTCTACTATCTGATTGTGATGTGACGGATCCCAAAAGGAACACACCATTCCTGGTCATTCCAGTAGCCCTTAGTGTATTAATGGCGCTTTTTGGGGGCAATTTATAGCCCGCCCTGAACTGAAACGGCCCACAATTTCCACCATGGAGGCAGATTGAAGAATCAGGCTTTGTTTGTCAACAGATTATTTTATGAAACGCAGCGAGAAATATCCATTATCCTCGTTAATATGCATAGAAGTCATCCTCTCTCTGTTTTTCAAGTTTACGATTCGAGTCATGTTACCTCAAAATCGCTACATTGGCAACAGAAAACAGCGCATACATGCAATGCTATGCTGCAGAATATGGCCTGCAAAAGTTATGATCGATGTAAAAATTAACTGCGCACAGTCGACCTGCAAGAAAGACAAATCAATGAAAAGAATAAAATGTTTTTTGTTGAGCTATTCCACTTCATGAACTGCTTGTTTTATAGGACAAAACTTTCAATTTAGCATCAAAACAAAACTAGAATCCGTAGCCAGTGTTGACTCACCTTACAATTCAGTTTCGTTTGCATATGGAGGCGAAGAGGCGCAGGCGTTGAAAATTTAATTTGGATATACTGCGTATTTTCAAGTTGTCAAGAATAACAAGAGTACTGTCATTTTTCAAAATTGTCTTTCTCAGTGCAAAATTTACAAGATATTGTTTAATCCTGACAAACAATTTTGGAAACACTTCGCAGTAAGATTTTTAATACAAGAGATTTTATTATCTCTTGTTATTAATATTTTCTTGCTCTTGACACTGAAATGCTTTGTTTCTTGTTTGCAAACGGAACTCTCAAATTTTTAAAACAATTTTTAAACTTATATGTCAAATCTGCAAGTTACGCAATATTGGCATTTCTGATCTCTCGAAATTACACTAAATTAATTTGTCGATAAACATAACGCTTAAGGCTTCGTCGACCGTTAAATATATCGCTGTATTAAAATTGTTAACCGCCAGACATTTCTTTTATTATTGAACTTCGGTGTTAATTCAAAATTCGCGGCAGTCAGTTGCAAAATAAATAACTGAAAATAACATTTAAGATCTGCTGACCTAGAGTATGAATCAAGAACACGGTTGAATTATTTTTTCTGGATGAAAGACTAAGATTTTAATTACTATTTTGGTACGTCTTCATACAACGGTCAAATCTTTCTTCAGCGTATAAGAAATAGTGTCCTTTCCCTCGCGAAGACGATTTTAGATTTGCATGCAGCATTTGTTTTACAATTTTTTGCTTAATGTCTGAAATGTTCAGTGTTGAAAATCTCACGAAAAGAGCTTGCGTGAAATAATATTTTCAATAATTTACTTGGAGTTATATCGTTCATCGCTCGATTTTTGAAGAACCGACATTGACAAGTTCGACATTTTTCCGACATTTCGTTTAGATATCATGTCAGTTGTTTGAATTACATCCGCACTTTGTCAAATAGCCAACAATTTTATTTGAAAAGATTTATACTACTGCCCTCTTATGCTTTCCAGAATTTTTAACCAACGCTTAAATTCTTTTGCGATACAAAATATTAAGATACAATATTTTTGATACTTACCTATGAAAGAACATAGAACGTTGTAATGCGATCGAATAAATGTATACCTACCTACAAATTTAAAACGTTTGTTTTTCCTCTAGAGTAATTTCAATATTTCAAATCGTGTCATTCGTGTACTTATATAAAGGGAAGACGTACACTGGATAGCTTTCCTTTAGGGTTCCCTTCACCAGCACCTAAAAAGTATCCACATTTTAGCATCAACGCTTAAAATCGATGATGAGTCAAAATGTTGACGATGTTTAGGCCAAACTGTAAGCAGCTAAGGACAGTGTTGGTATCCATGGTAACTCATGCGTGTCGGTAGCAGGTGCTTCGAGTGACTTAAAGAAAAAAATTGACACTTTTTGCTGTTTAAAATGTGTAACATTCCACATGATATCAATATTTCATATGTAGTACATTTTGCGAAAAAAAAAATCTTTCCTCGGCTTACGTTGGAAGAACAAGAATAGAAAGAATTTGATACATTTTGGATTTTTCAGCGAGAATTTGCTTCAACTATTTTGGCTTCACTGTGATCATATGAAAATCATGTATGTGAACTGCGGGTTAAGAAATGAATATGAAAGTGATCCAGCTCCCAGTTGGCTGGTTAGCTCAGTTGATAGAACATTGCACCGGTATCGCAAAGGCGAGAAAGAAAAAAAAAGGAAACATTGCTTACACATCACAATACTTTCACTGTGAATCTACTTGCATTCCTCTAATGCAGATAGGAACAACGACAGTTTTTTGCGATTGTCTGTGTTTTTACCATGTACAGACGTGATTAAATGTTTAACAGAATATTGGACGGGAGACATTATGAAAAGAATCTGTAGGAGTTTATTAAAAATGGAATCGACTTTCCTGCCGCTAACTATACATTTAATTTCAATATCTCAACGCTTACATGATCAATTACGGAATGGCATAGTTACTTTACAATCTAACGTCATCACGAAGGCAATTTTCATGGTATATATACACACACGGCTCTTACATGAGCAAAAGATGCAAGGTCTCGTTTTGAACGTCTAAGGTATTGAGCTTGTTACTGTTTAAATATGAATAGCGAATAAGTCTTTGGTGCTCGATAGCTGAGGAGTATAGGAAGGACTGGGTAAAGTTATAAACGAGATACGTCACAGATAGGAAATAGTAGAGAAATAATGATCAGATTGGTAAACTTCGTCGTTCACAGAGAACGTAGTAAGCATTCAATTAACCTCTCTTCGTATTAATTTTTTTATATCTTTCTTTGTCTTTTTCAATCCGTGATTAAGTTGTCATGCATTTTTTGTGAACATAATTCGCCAGATCCATTAAATGGTCTTCAACAGCGTTATCAACCGGTTTAAAAGGCCGATAACCTTCTTGTTTCTCTACGTTTTGTTTCAGCAGACTACTGTGTTTCAGGAACTCTGTGACGTCATTCTGTGGTATTGCGACTCCTCTAAAGTTCAAATTTTTCGATGCTTTGTTGGGTTCCGGACTGATAGCTTGGTCCCCTGGGGGTGGTAATGAGGAGCATGGTTTGACTTTAACCTGGTCTGGTTTGTTTTGCATTTCTTGTTGTTGTTTCTTCAGTTGACGATACTTGGCGCGCTTGTTTTTAAACCAGACCTGAAAGAGGCGAAAAGGAATCGATACTATCTTATAAAACAAAAGGAACAGTTTACTTGTGATAAAGGCTTCTAAGTCACAAAAGTAATTGTAAACAATACTCAGTTCTTTGATAAGTGGGATGGAAATTATGTGGCTGGTGATGAAGGTAGTAAAAATTCAGAGTTGCATCAAAAAGGGGTTACTCGGTTGTTCATTCTGGTAAAGTACAGAAGTAATTAAATCTCTATTATGAGACGGTGAAATCATGAGATGAATAGTAAAGTGCAACTGCAATAAAATATTTTCCGATATGTCACTAGATGGTTTCATATGCAGCAATAACGGTTCAACGAGGTGAGACAACGCCACAACGCGCTGAAAATTCCAAGAGCCATTCCATTTTCAATTGACCAATCAAATTTGATCGCGTGACCGAGGTTTCAAGTATCCGGAATGTACTCGAAAGATCAGGAAGTCCATTAAAACTTCTCATGACTCACGGAAAATTAATTTACTTGCATGCGATTCTAGCAAAACTGTGACTAATCAAGGTTCAAAGTACATTTCGATTTCAGATTATTTCATCCTAATGTAACAACGCGATTATCGAGGTACCAAGGGATGTTTTTTGCAAATTATGTACTAAGCTAGTGGGCTCGCGTGCTGACGAGAGAGCCAGTTTTGCGCCATCGTATAATACCATTATCGCATACTACACTTCTTAGCAGCTCATAGACTAAGCTAATAAAGAAAGAAAAGGATTAATGCTGGATTAAAAAATCGTTTGCGTAAGTTTAATTGGATGCCCCATATGGAGCAGAGCCTACTTCAATGATAGCTTCAATCCCTCAATTGTTAGATTTGAGCAGAGCAACAATGATATGTTTATGACGATTGGTTGTAAGTTTTCGTTTTTTTCATTTATTTACTTTTTAATAGAGTAAATAAGTTTAATTCCAAGGTTAGGAAGACTTAACTAGTAAAATAAAGGTGCGCTACAGGAATCAAAGTTGACAGAATTTGTATAATTAATTACCAAAAATAAGTTGGAAAACAACAACATAGGCAAACAAACAAGCAAAGGTCAAATGCAAGACTGATGGGCATTCTGGGTATCAAAAAAGAAGAAAGCGATTTAACTGACAAACACAAACTGTAATTGGCATATTAAGAAGAGATTTTGCTTTTTTTGCCTTTGTTATATTCAAAGTCAGTTCCTTCCCGGCTGCGGTACCTGGGTCAAATCCGACCGGGAAAAAACAAAAAACATACAACAAACTGAACAAGTTTTCCTACCTGTACTCTGCTCTCTGGCAGATTGATTTTCGTGGCGACGTCTTCTCTCATGAAGATATCAGGGTATTTTGTTTTGCTGAAGAGATCCTCTAGGATTTCAAGTTGAGCTTTAGTAAAAGTCGTTCGCTCCCTGCGTTGCTTTCTTGGAGGACCTGAAAAAACATAGGGGTCGAAAAAGAAGTGTTGACTAAGAAAGTTCAGAAATATTTATTTGTATAAACAGTATTTAACAATTGTTAAGGAATTGAGAATTGTGTATGGATATTCAACCGGGAGACTTAAACTATTGAGGCCCACACACCTGGACCACAGTTCGGTATCATACAGAGGTTCATAGCAAAATGGCAGAGGCTTTTTTATACTTTTAGTTCCAAGATGTTACAATGATCTCCTCTTGCTTCCAGCATCCTTATTACCTTTCTGCACGACACACCCCGATATTGCAAAAAAAAAAAATAAACAAACAAAAAAAACGACTCATCAATTATTCCCGAGAGTCAGAGAAAAGAAGTGTGGATGCTAGCAACACCAAATATGATCGTAATGTGAGCACCTTATGTTCTTAACGATAAGAAAATAAGTGTAAGTGAAGATGGAGTATGCAAGTGGGCCTTCTTTCAATGCATAAAATAACCTGGATTGAAACATGCTTTGGCAATAGAAGATGTCTTTTATAAAGCTGTGCATTGTAATACTTGAGGCTCAGCAATAAAATTGTCGTTATACACCAATATTTTTCAATTCTCAAGCTAAACGCCGTATAGTTTCTCTTTTTTCTCTACCAGATTTTTTTTAAGTTTAGATTTTAAACAAGTTCTGTCATTTATGGCCAAAGAAAATTGATGAAAATCTCTGAGAGTAGGTTCACAGCCCCATTATTGATAATCATAATCTGCCATTATCCCTGATTAGTCCACTGTAACGAGCCGAACCCATTCCTTTCATAATATTAAACGATCAGGGTAATTGGAGAAAAGACGCTGTCAATTTGAAAAGTGGAGTCTCACAACTAAAGGTTTTGCGAACATTTGAACACGAAAAATCCCTAGTTAGCATAAATTAGGCTGTAGCCTTCCTGGCAAAAGCAACACATTTGCTCAAACTACTTTTCCGTTGTGTTTACGTAACTGATACAATCAAACCCTGCTCCTTGCTTTGTAGTCGATCAAATGCTTGCACGTAAATTGCCGAACAAGAGAGATCCGTGCTTGAAAAAAATCTTAGTTCATTCTGGAAACAGCTGACCAAAAAAAACACGATGATATTCTATGTACCTTCAATGAATGGTCTTGATGCTAAACAGTGAAAACAGCCCCAGTAAGGTGGGCAACTCATCCAATTAAGCGCCATAACCAGTCAAAAAATGAGGATGTCGATCCTCACGCTGCTAAAGGGGTGAGTGGCAAAGTGCTTCTAGTCTCAGCAATTTGTTGCTTTAAATTTAAGGATTTGTGAGAATAGTTTCACCCTGAGACCTTTTTACACATCTCGTGATATTACTTTTCATGCGCTTTTGGTCGCACAGCTCTCTAATTTATGGGATTACTACCTTAACTTATATTTGCTTTAAAAAGATAATTCTCGAGTCTTTGAGGTTTGAGGGACACTTTACTTTAACTCGATTAATGAACAATCTACTGGTAATGTTAAATAGGGCAATCAAAAAATCGCTCAAAGTCACGAGAGAATCTACTGACTCTGTTACCGACACTCAAAACAGGAAGCACGTGCCAAGTGAATTTCGTTGCTATGGAGACAACTGGGAGGGGATCTTCTTGGAATGCCAAAACTTTCAAAGCAAAGAAGGATTCTTAAAAAAAACCAAGTGTGACCGAGTTAGGGGAAAGATTATTTAATAAAAAATGTGTTAAACCGAGCAGATTACAGCAAAACGGAAGGTTTGACTTGAAAAATGCGCCTCTCTGGCTAGTCAGGTACTCAGAGAAAGAGCATAAGGGATTGTACCTTAACAGAATAGTGTAAATAGCTTTTTATGAACATTGTGTTCGGTTAAGATTAGCAGTTTCCTTCTTAGTAGAGGCTTACACTTCAGCGTTGTACAAAAATGATTTTAACACACGAAAGCGCAAAACTTTCCCTTCTCGTGAAACTTCGCGAAACAGAAACTACATCAAGGCAGTAGGGAACGAAAACGCTTTGATGTGAACTGTACAAGACTGTTATTTTGTGTGTCTAGTTTCGCTTTTTATAGCGTGAATCTGCTCGATGTGTGAGTTAGATCGGAAATTCACTTACAAATGTAAAGCATATTGACCTGAGAGGTTAATATAATGTACCTTCGTATTTGAGTGTCTCGAGCTTGACAAAATCCATATTGAACGAGTTAAAACCAAAACCATGCATCAGTGTAAGATTTGTTGTACCAGGCGGAAGACGTCCATACGGGCCTGCCATTTCTGTCACTTTCGTTCAGTTTTCCTGTTTGTCTCAGAAAGAACCTAACGGATGATAGAAAACTTTAGATACAACTATAATTGGCTTAAAATATTTGTTGGCTTCAGTCCAGAACTGAGCTTAAGTTCAAGGGTTCAGTGACGTAAAATGTTCGGTTGCTGATCAGTAAATTCTGGCCTAATGTTACGAATTAAAAAAAAGGTGTATTTGTGCCATTATATTCGATAAAAAAATATGTCTATTTACATTATCTTGCCTTAGAAATATTAATTCTGTTGTCACTACCTTTCCTTTCTGTCCAGTTAGCGAATCAAACAAGAATCTGAGCTGATTTTCGTCGCCGATTTCTCTCTGTGTTGGCAACGCCAAAAGATTCAGAACGGTTAGAAACAGATATAGAAAGACGGACGTGAGTTCTGACAGTGATGAACTCTATATTTCTGACCGAAACAAAAAAAAATTCCCTTCTCTCAAGTTTCAGCCAGGAATATCATATGTTATTATTGTAGTGTATTCCCTGAGGCACTGATAACCCATCTGTAGCCTCTGTCTTGATAATTGTTTTTGAGAAAAACAAAACTTTGTTTGGTCTAAAAATCTAGTGGAATTTTTAGCTGTGGGTAGTAAGTTAGATAACTATGGACGATTTAATAAAAGAAGGCTGTTGCACGGTGATAAGTGCGCGTTGATTTGCACAAAAAACTGATTAATGAAATTGGAAACATCCAAGTTTCTTCAGCCGGAAAAATATATCGTGCTGAAGTGTGAGGGATAAAATTTTCCATGCTATTTCTGAGATCATCTCCTTATTCGAGACTAAATATTTTAATTTTAACGTTGAACAGTTATATCAGACAGCCTAAATGTCTACCCATAAAGTGGACGCCGAAATAATCGTCACATTTCAGGGAGTTCATAGTGATAGAGTTGGTATTTTGATCAAAGTTCGAACGGGGGAGGGGGGAGGAATGAGGCTACATAGGTTACACAGGTGTACGCCGTCCAAAGGGTATGGTTGAGATTTTGACTATCATGGTCTTATATCGGATGTCGTTTTCAAGGGAACCAGGCAACTCACCCTTACGAAGAATCTCTAGGAGTGCCCCCGAACCTAAGCGACGGTTTATCGGAAGGACATATCTAAGATCGGACGCAAATAAGTCTGTTTGTCTAAGAAGAAGAGGAGAAGGGATATTGTAACAAATGACTGACATTAACCGACGCCTCCAAAATGAAAAATACTCATCAGTTTATATATTCTCCTTGTGGCTACCAGCTTTATCAAGCCACAAGACTACAATGTTTTTGCATGTTTTGTGTGATAATTTATCGGCTATGATTCAGTAATTCACTGATTATGATCTCAAAGTGACTCGCTGTACACTCTTGGACAGGAGAAAACAAGCCACAACACATTACTCCATTAAAGGAGTAATATTTTGACATCTGATATAATTTTATTTTCATAGTTATTACCGTCCGCCACACACATAGAAGCCACAGAATATTCGATTAACGACAACGAACCTTTAAAAAGACACCATTAACCCTTTCCTTACTGTCTGCCATACAATTCTTATGATGTTAGTTCGAAGAATTTGGTATTGGATCAACTAATAATCCCGTAATTGATATTTGTCTTTATTCTCATCGCTTGTCTGCTTGATATTGAATTGATATTGTATGGAGAAATTCTTTCCTGGTCACTCAAGGGAGCATGTTAGTTTAAGTTCTAGAGGCACGCGAAAGTCTCAAGGTATTCTCAAGGGCTTAAAAAACAATAAACAAAGAACAATACTCCTTATCAAAGGCCTCGTGATTCTTGTGCGCCTGTACATGTTTGGTGAAATCATCTTCCGTATAAAGCACACTCGACGTGTTCATAAAATTGACCAGTTACGACCTGCAAATTTCTTAGGACATTTGATAACCTTGTACTTTAACCCTGAAGGCAAATGTCTCCCACTGTCTTTAATGAATGTTTGAGATATATTTTTTTGTGTTATTTTTAATTATACGACTGAAGATTGAAGGCATCATATAAATTACAAAGAAGAGTACTGAATAGGAGCTCTGAAGGAAACTGTAGAACCAGAAAACATTAAACAATATCAATAGGGAAGTAATGATTTTTCTTAAATATCACTCTTGGACACTGAAAAAAACCGTTAAATTCAATTTAACAGGTGGGAGGCTTTTCTGCGGATGAAATTCTTCTCACTCAACGTAGAAATACAGATGATAATAGCTCGCATGCCGGCTTGTTAGCTATATCATCACGTGTGTATAGCTGGCACAAATAAACAAATCCTTTGCTTTTAGTTAAACTTTGTTGGGAGAATTGCCAACGTTGAGTATTCAAAAATTTAAAAAAGCCCTGAAAACTACAATTTCAAATTACTTGTAGCATCTCTACATATATCGAACTTCCTTACCTACAGGTATCAATTTTTTTGTTTAATAAAAACATTTCCTCGAAAGTTTTTGCAGCAATGGCATCGCAACACATATATTAAAAGGGTTCAAACAAACATAACCAATTTTTTTAAATTTATCTTTGAATTCTTTTTTGCAATCAATCAATCTTATCTTCAATAGCCGTTCTTTTCCTACGTTTTCATAGATAGATAGATAGATTATATTTATTTATCCGGCCACGTTCGATTCATCAGCAATAGTTAATGAACCTTACTTCGTCATGGTTCATGAAAGTGGAAAGAATATCTTGATCAAGAATTTGAAGCTTGGTCATTGAGTCACGAGTTAACAATCAACTTTTCAGTGTCTGTCTTCAAGAAGTCAATTGATACAGATTCAGCAAGGAAAAAAAAATTTTTTGAGTGAAAAGAACACCGAAATATCAGAGACCATTGTTTTGAATTGTGACCTTTCGTTTTTTTAAAGAAATTATTGACATTGTACATCATTGCTATTATCTCTGTCTTTAGAATTCGTGGTCTTCAACTAAACGATGACTCTGAAAATTAACATACTTATAGTTTCCTACTTCACAGACACTTGTCGTAGGATTGGTGAAAGAAGTTTTCGCTCGAAGACCATTGTTTTAAATTTTCCAATTAAACTAATGTGGAATTCGAGCCGATATAGACACACAAGATATAAAAATAACAAGCTATCGTTATCATAAACAATTTAAAGATACAAATTTCATCTCAAAAAGTATACCGTATGACTTACAAATCGGATTAAGAGGTGTTTTGCTCGTGGATAAAGTACTGTTGGAACGTTAACAATGGCAAAGTTTCTGCAATTAACTTAACATCATTGTAAGCTAAAGAAGGACGTGACTCTGAAACAAAAGTTTTTCCTGAGTTTAAAATTACCATCACTCTTTATACAAATTACTCGGTACATCACCTCGATTTACACAGGGAAGATTCTTATGTTTGTTGTTTCAGGAACTTGGATGTCTTCAAGCCTTTATCATAGATGAGTTGAACCCTTTGTTGTGGAACCATTCAACAGGAAAATGAATTCTCTCGAATGCACGTTCGGTTTTCTCAGGAAGTCTTAATCACACACTTCCTCTTCAACTCAATATGACTCGGCAAATTTTTTCTGCTAACAAAACATTTAGGATCATGAGTTTTGCGGTTGGAGATTGAATATCAAATGGCATAGGTCTATTACATTTTGGCTCATCACAGCGAGTGCTTTCAACACGGTCATTACTTCTTCCAGTGTACATGGCTTTAATACACGTATCACATCATACTAACTCTCCTCCCTTCCAGACGGAGATATTGCGCCCCTTTGAACCTTTTTCTTGAATAAAGACATGCGCAGAGCGTGGCGAAGTAGTTCAGTTTTGGACAGCCTAAAAGATGTGTTTGATAATTATGCATACGAGTGAAAAGAAAGGAGTCCAATGATGATAAAAATTATGATGATTATAAGAAATAAAAAAAAGTGAGTGTAAAGGACAAAAAAAGGAAACACCTGGAAAAAAAAAGCGCTATTTGAATAATTTCTTTCGCGAAAACATCAGATAAATATCTGTAAATGCTTTTTTGTTTCAATGTTTATGATCTAAGGTATATGAGCCCAGATTCTGCGGCCTGTAAACCGACTAGAACTCGGGAAATACAATATATCATACGATTTTTTTTGCGCAATCTATCGAATTTTTCATGATCAGTGTTTGCCGGAGTTATTCAGTGCAAATATGTTCAAGAAGTAAGAAAGTGATCTTTCCGTTACCACTTGTAATGGTTTAGTATGCAAAGTATTTAGTTTCGAACGTTCAAGAAGATTCAGATTATGCAATTAGTCCCAGAAACGAATTAGTTAAAAAAAGAACTTTACCATTGGGTTATTCTTATGATTATTTTCATACGCCACTGGAGAATTCAATTTATCCTATTTACGCCCAAAATGATCTTCGATGTCAGTCCATAGTCTCAAGCATAACTTTCTTATTTGAGGTACATACGAATATTTACAAATACTAGTAAAAATTCTTTATTAGTAATCACTCTTAATATCTAGACCATAACTCAGAAAACAACTACGCAACATAACATGTACACTGACTTTTTCCAGATTGGGCTATATAAGAATAGTCGAAATATAAGACTGAGTTTTAAATCAGGATCTATAAGTTCGTTACATTGCGGTCCCGTCCATTTGAGTCTTCAGTTGTCACACCAACACAATGAAGAGCGTCTACTTATATTGTCGTAGTTAATGTTCTGAATGTTCCTGCACAATTTACCAATTTAGAATTACTGTAGTAAATAAATATTGTTTTTACTTTGTTCTTTGTGAAATAATGGGCTACAAATCATATCATTGCAGGTGCAAAATAACCAGGTTTTACAGTATGGTTGATGGCCATCCAGTTAGCCATTTGTATGTTTTTTGCATACGGCGGAAAATCTGGTTTGTGGATCGGATAAAACTGCGACGGCAGCGTACTTGGTGACGATGCGGGCCTGTGGCCATTGACTACAGTTGAGGGCGGGTATAGCCCACTCCTCTGAATTTTTAACATTGTTTTCATGTTCTGATCCACTGTATTCATGCTTTGTTGCGGCCACGAATCGACCGAATCATGAGACAACTTTTTGACTGATTGATCCGATTGCGACGGAGGCGTGTTTCTCTTTGCCGGCTTGACTGGATCTTGCAAGGGTGGGGAGGGAATTTTTCTCTTCAGCGTACCTGGTTTGCTTTGGGATCCCGCTGACTGCTTGTTTTGCTGGCGACATTTGGCTCGTTTATTTTTGAACCAAACCTGTGAATAAACAGAAAGAAAGTTCAGTATTCTCTTAAATTAGGAAAGCATAGAACTTTTTCGTTTTTTACTGAGGTAAACATCTTTTTTTTTAGCTTTGTGTTAAAACTACAAAGAAACTTATCCTTAGAGCAACGCTCATTAGACTACAGAGAGGGCAGGAGAGAGAAAGAAAATTAAACACGGGTTATTGCAACATCTAAACCTGTAATCGCGTGAAATTATCATTCGTGCGACATCTACTTCTCAAAGGGCAAGAATACAAACAAACTAAATCACGCTATCGAAATATTTGCTTTTATTCTATTATAAGACCATTATAGTAATAAAATACTAAAAATTATTGCTAAACTATCTTTACTATTTATTTAGGCGCCATCACAATATTTTAGATGCCGAACTTTTTCTAGAAAACAAGTTTCGTGCACATTGTGTCCATAGCCCGAATGGGGCCACCTCATCTGTCGCCGCTGGTGACATTCTCTGATAAGATTACACCTCTATTTAGTAAGCTTATAGTAATTATCTAACCAAGGGTTAAGCTATGGAAAATTAGCCGTTAATTAATTGAAGGCATTTACCAAAACCGTTCTGTCTGATCTGGTTTGTTTTGTTGATAGAGTTACGCCTTTGACAACAAGTTACGGTAATTTGTGGTCATATCCGTCATCTTCGCACACAAGAATGGACGTAAGGGAGGGGAGGATTAAGAGGTTTTTTGCCTTTTATTTATATTGTTGCATCTGGCAAAAGATTATCTGTTTGTGGAAATTAGACGCCGCAGGTGATGGACTTTTTCAAAATTCTATTATGACGAATGAAAGCGAGAGCATTTCCACAATTTCCTCCAATTACCACTCAGTGCAATTTTCGAATTTTTTTCTAAAGTAAACATTTTAAATATCATATTAGGATTTGTTGATAATAGCATTTAGCCAATGACCTCTGATTTTCTCTGGCTGCTTGTTCATATTCCCAAAGAAGAACATGAAACCTGGAGTGAGGAAATGTCACATAAAAAATATTGCCCATAAAAAGTAGTAGATTCGTCCATCCCATTCGGGATTGAACATTTGGAATGTGCCATGGTGTATATGCAACCATGATTGTGGCTTTGACGATGACAAAATCTCAAAAGATATACATATTGCTATGTATCAGAAAAACTGGTCTGAAATGTTTCGAAATATTTGTTTAAACTCTTTCCCGCACACCCAACCCTTTCGAACAGACTGTAACCCAATTCTAAAGGTTAAATCTCTTCAACCAAAATTGACGGCATCTTCGCTGATATTCAAGGGGAAAAGATCTGTTTTGTTATTTTCTGTTGGCCAAGGTTTTATATGATGAATATGACTGTTATTTACCTGCACCCTGCTCTCAGGGAGGTTTATTTTCATGGCCACTTCCTCTCTCATGAAGATGTCAGGATACTTTGTTTTGGCGAACAGCTCATCTAAAACTTCTAATTGAGACTTTGTGAAAGTTGTCCGCTCCCTCCGCTGCTTTCGTGGTGGTCCTGTTAAAAAACAAAAAAAAATTAATACAGCAATAGAAAAGTTAAAGTTTTTAGGCTTTGCCTCGTTTAGCTTCTTTCTCTTTATCATGTGTACACTGCAACGCTGATTTACAGCTAAAATGTCTGTTTTAAACTTTTGGAATTGAGAACAAGTTTTAATTTAAACACTGTGGAAATTGAATGTTTCATTTCCATCAATTCTATCCATCTTACCCAAATAGAGTCATCCAAGTGCTCTATCAACTGCCTTGGTCCGAGGCGGATATGAAATTCTACTTGAACTGTTCGTTTGTCCACGAACATCCTTGAACTAATTTTAACCGCTTAACTTACGCACTAAAGTTTAAGTAAGGTATACATTAGGTTTTCTTGTGTAAAGATGGGAACATTTCTCTCGCTCAGCTGGAGCACGACCATTGAGTGGTAACCGTCACCAAAGTCGAGGAAAATGTATGAGAAGGAAGAATAATAAAACTTAGTTCATATATGTACGATGTCAAGTTTTTTATACCTTCCATTAGCCTTGACATTAGACACTGAGGACAACCCAAACAGGCTGGAACGGAAAATGCAGGCCAGGCGAACTCCATAGTGTTGCAACAAAGTAGATATCTGACGATGATGCCTTTCACTTCACGAGACAGAGTGCTTTGAGTGGAGCACAGTATTTATAGGACGTGATCAAGATTTGGAAACAATCAGAACCGTTGCCCCTAATGTTGATGAGGGGATTATACCACTATTTGTGGCTTAGCTGGCAGGATAATTCTAAGCCGACAAGAGTTAAGCCAGTCTTCAAATAACGGTATTCCGTGACATGCGTTCGGGTTAAAGCCGTATCTACCGACCAGGCGAAGATTATAATTTTTTTATAACTGCCGTGGGTTGTAATGTCTGCTCATCGGCGGCTAATTATGTTCCACAATGTCTAAGCACGAATGATATTTGCACGGAGATATTTACCTGTAGAAGCCTGCTGCACCTGCCCAGAGCGAGCAACAGGAATTTGACAGGATTTGGCGAAGTTAAAATCAGATAAAATATTCGAGCCCTTAGTGGGAAGTAGAGGAAGTCGATAAGCCTAAAAGCTCAAAGCGCTTTGGGGTCTTTAAACAGACTGTGTACACTCGGACAGACTCGGACAGATCTATAATAAACTTGGGAGCAGGCTGTTCCGTGTCATGCAACAGACAATTATGAAACTTAATAAACTGTTCTTCTTATTTTGGTCATTTTTCCACGTCCGTTTTTAACGTCAAGCCAGTTTACAGCTATATAAAGAGACCGGGAGTCTACATATTTATAGCACTGGAACTAAACAAAAATTGGCTTATCCCTAAACCCACTTAGTGCGCTTCAAGCATTTCTGAGGAAAGATTATCCAGGTTGAGAAATATCAAAGATATTACATGGTTACAAGCGACATATAGACATGCAAGGTAAGAAGACCACCCAATACAGGTCATTTTAAGTCCTTACCGTACATTGGGAACCAATCGTCCTGTGGTAAGTCTGTATTTGGCGTAGAAAAGATGTATCCGCTCAGTGCGCACGAAGACAAACGTCCATTCATATTTCCTCCTATCTGCCTTACACAACCTAGCGTGCGAGGAATAAAAGTGTTGTCGTAAACTTTGACCTGAAAGGGAAGTTATTTGCACGTGTGCAATCTTGTGGTGTGAGGTGTCTTGAAAGAAATCACGAAACCAGAATCGATAACAAACCCACCATTCCAAATTAGCCATGACTCTTTTCAAAAGGTCACGTCATTATCTTTAAGGTTGAGGCTAATCAGCTTGATACATCGGCGACTTCCGATGAATGATTATTTCATTGCGATCACGCAAAACAAATACGTTGATTGGCAGCTATCATTCATACACTGCGATAAGAAAATTAATCCCCAGTCTTAACGTTTCCTTTAGCTCAAGACGGCGGTAGACTGAGAACTACTCATGAGAAATTCAGCCCGAGACTGCATAAAACTTCGATGACTAACTCGTTATCCTATTTCCACGTATGTAATAAATACTGAAACTCCTTGGAAGTGTTTCATTCCGGCAATGGTCCTTTTGGGTCAGTTATAATTAATATGTCATCCCTTTCACAAAGTTTGTCAAAATGAATGTTTGACCACCTGATAGAACTGTTAAATTCCTTTAAATATACCTCCTGGGTTCTCGTATCTCTTCGGCTGTGGCACTTAATGATATCTATATACAAGGTCCTCTAACGGAGAAGGCTTCGTCACATTATCTAACGCCGACAACTCCTCCATGCCTTTCCGTTAACGTCTTTTTGTTTGTTATACCCATTAAAATCATATTGTTTATTATAGTGCCATTTTGCAGCTGTGTAACGAAACCCAAGGCATCCATGGTTTCTATGATGCCTGGATATTTCAAAACGCTCTTTGATTAATTTGGACCTGTTAAAATTTTTTAGTAAGTTTTACAGATGTATCGTTAATTTTTCATATAACATTTCAGTTTTTCTAACATTCAGGTAAAATTTCGTGTTACAACATTAACCTAAATGTTCACATGCACAGGAGAAATCAAAAGCAAGTTTAACCTTGATTTACGATGGCCACTTTCGAAAACTCGGCTGATTATATCATTTTTACAATTATGTTTGTTTACAATTACGATATAATATGAAGCATTAACATCTTATATAGCTTTACTAACCTGTATATATACTCCGAGCGCGCTTCTTCTCTCAGATCAAAGAAGCAAAAAGATCATGACTCTGATGCTATCTTAACGACGCCTTTTCATTTCATAAGACCGAGCAGGCTCGTGGGTGTCAGTCTTTTGAAGACAGATGGAGGAAAATTTCCAAATTTGTGGGATGTTTGTTAAACCAAAAACGACTCCAAGTGACTGATTTGATTAGTGCAGGAAATTCGTCATGTAGTGTTGATTTAAGAGTATTTCCATGTTCTGCTAATCACGTTCGGTTTTTTCAGCAACAATAAAAGTATGAGGTCAGAAACATTTGTTTTGAAATAAAAAAGTTGTGAAAAATGGTACTGGCAAGATGAAAATCAAACAGACGACTTCAAAGAAAGTCCAAGCATTTGTCAGTCAACTTCTTTCCTTTGTATTTCTGGGCGTGTCAGTTTCTTCAGCTGTAGTGCTGATCAATTCTCACGAGACTGTTACGAACAATAAATCAATCGCTTTGACAAGTTTGAAATGTACAGGGAAACTTTTTATGGGAAAAAGGAAGAAAGAAAGTGATACGACGATTTCGTGCAATCTCAACGGATTGAAAGCATCTTTTGGTTTTTGGGCTGTAACGGAAAAAGAAGGAGTAGAAACTTTATTTGGTTCTTTTGGTTGAGCAAGACGAATTTCCGTCTTGTAGGAGCACAGACCTCAGTCATTAACAAAGAAGTCTGTCCATGAGAGATGTTATGGTCCCAGTTCTACTAAACATTGTTCAACTAAGGGGTTGGGGAAGAGGTGGGTTGGGAACGGGGAATTATCCCCTCGTTTTTCTACCTTTTGCAGAAAAAATCTTTAAATTCAGCTTACAATGGGAAAGGACTGAACACAGACCACCATCATATTAAGTAACTATGTTTACTCTTTTCAAATTAGTTTTGGTTTCCTTCTGACGGAAAAATTGGTTATAAGACGCAACATGATGATTTGAAGGCTCCTTCTTACGCATGCTCTATGTTTCAAGCTGTGCAAAAGCATCAGCAACTATGCGGAAAATTGTTAGTTGAAAATAAACGGCGCCTGACTTCGTGTAAACAACAAACGTGTTCGAGCAGGTCTGAAAATGTCCCACACAATGTGTCGAAAACCCTATTTCAACACTGCTTTGATGAGAGAACTTAAGCACCACACGTTAGTTATCGCCTGGGGGATCAGAGGATTTTTTTTTTTGGGGGGGGGAAGGGGAGCTCAAATAGTTTTAAGAGGGAACGAAGGGGGAATCAGTCTTTGCTAAAAGAGTTTGAAGGGAGACTTAAGAAAATTAATCGTCAATGAAGGGGAAGGGGCGAGGGTCATTTAATTAGTGGCAGAGTCTTATGGGTAAATTCTATAGTGACACAATTAAAATCCCGAAGCCCCCCCTATGAGTGTATTAGTGCTAACCGCCCATCTGCCTTAATTTTTTTGCATAAGAAAAATATAAGTTGGAAATACTGACCACTTATTTTATCTCAAGAAGAAATGAAATATCTTGTAGTGCCAGCAATCACGAGATCCCTCTAAAAAATTGTAACAGAACTGTGATCTTTTTTCAGAAGGAGCAGTGATCCTCATAGCGAGAGCGCGCACAAATTACAAATGTACTTCTTGTCAACGAAGAAATAGCAAGCTGAAATTTAACATGCACAGACGTTTGCGTGAGTACAGGCGTGATCCTAAACCGTAAAAATGTCGACGTCTGTAATTTTATCGGTCAAATTTTTAATGCCTTTCGCTCGTCTGAAAAACAAAGCGGCAACATGAATGGACATGTTTTTTGAGGATACGTTTGGTTGAAGCTTTCGTTACTAAAATCCGCAGAAATTTACTGAATAAGGTTTGAAATGTTTCTTGTGAAGGAATTCCCTTTCTGTCTTCGAGATATCCTGTTCTACCTTGGAACAGGATATTACTGTTTCTTTGGTTGTTTTGGCGGTTTGTCGTCTGGTTTAGGTCAGAATTTCCGTATTCATCTCAACAAGCCATGTTAATCACGGAAAGAGCGAAAAAGAAGCTGGCAAGTATCTTTAATACACGACACTAAGGAACCCGTAATGATCCATATATTTGTAATAAAGTAATAGCCTTGTCTTCCGATTGGTAACCTATCTCTAAGATATTCGACCAAGAAAACGCGTCAGAAAAAATTGTCAGAGCTATTTTCGTCTCAGGATCTATCGCGTGATTCTCGCTGTCTTTCAACGTGTACGAACACTTCGTTTTGACAGTCATGAATATGAAAGGAAAAAGTCGCGCTATGAAAACTATGTCTACCTTGTGGTCAGATAACTTCCTCATTGAAGAAATTATTTCACGTTCATGATAAGGTACCTTCTTCTCTATTTCGTTTTCAAAACTATATTTCTTCGTCTTAGCAAAAGCAAAGCAAAATGTCAGAATTAACTCGTATGTTTTCTTTACCCTCTGTTGTTTTCACCCACACGCTGTGGTGCCCCTATGTTTTTAAATGAAGACTTATTTTATGTTACTTTTTCATCTATCGCCCTTTATTTAGCTCTCTACCTTTTAAATCGCACCCAATACCCCTGTGGACTTCACGGCTTAAATATTTCATGGCTGTACGATTCCCGCCTTTTTCTTTTTATCTAGAAAGCAAGATGTCTTATGTTCGTTACGTAACTCTTTTTAACAACCCCGGACTTCCGTCATTATCTGTGCCAACACTGTAAATGAAGCACTCTGTTTTCAAACGTCTCCAATTTGCAAAAGGCGTTTCGGAATAAAAAACGGCTCAAGGTTTTCCAACGTTTTAGTGCCTACACCAATCTTGGTTGGGCCGAAACGACTTTTGAATAAATTGGACGACTTTTGGTGGACTGAAAAACTTTCGTGGACTGAAAGACTTTTGCAGACTGTACGACTTTTGTAGACGGAAAGTCTACTGTGTGGACTGAAGTACATTTGTAAGGATCCAACGACTTCTGTGTGGACTTAGGGACTTTGGTGTCGTCTAAAGGGCGACTTCCATGTGGATCGGACGACGTTTTTGGGAATAAACGACTTTTGTGGGTTAGAAAACGTTTTTTGGATCGAACAACTATTATGAAGACTGCATGACTTTTGTGTGGATTAAACGAACCGTTTGGCCAAGGTTACTGTGGTGTTTGTTTTAATGTCCCTCGTTAGTCCACTCGGGCTAAATATTTTGACAACTGAATAAAGGTTCTTCTCTTCTCTTTTTAAGTGGCAGGTCGAGTTTTATTAATGTGGTCTAAATGACTTTTGTGTGGACGGGTCGTTTGACGTGTCGATTGGTTCTGTGGACTAAACAACGTTAGTGCGAGCGGGACGATATTCGTGTAAAAATGGACGACGTTTCTGTAGATGAAACGACTGTGGGGGCTGGTATGGTTGAGGTAAGATTGTTTGGCCGTGGGGGAGACTTAATTAAATATAGAAGTGAACTGAGAGTATAATAAACTTCGTATAAAACAAGATAATTTGGTTTTATCAATTGTGTTGATGAAGTAACGGTTGGCCACCGCAAAGAGTTTCTTAAGGTAAATTTTCGAGTGTTAGCCTTTCGATTTGCTGATTCTTTCTGTGGATCTCCAATTCAGATCGGTCTTTTAATTAAAAAATTACCCGTAGAAAAAGCTTTGGTTCTCAAGGAGATTCCGTCGTTTAGAAGATGACGCTTATAGTGCCTAAACTATTGTGGAGGTTCTCTTAACAGAAGTTCTCTTGATGGTTCCATCTTAAACTCTTCAACAAAAGTTGATAATTCCCAAGTAGGGTTGACCTTTGCCTAGGAAAAGGCGTACATGGGTTTGAAATATATCCTACATATACGACTTCGTCTGAACAGTTGTCTCGTAGTGTTGTTATAGTAGATAAAATCGTGTTAAAACTTATGACAGAGTCTGGGAACGTTTTTCCAGTTACCCCAAATCTCATCAAAGGTGAGACTACGGGGCTCCTTAAAAGTGGCTTAAGTCTCAGGGCTGATGCCATAGACAATAACTAACGGAAGTATGTAGCTTAAGAAAACAACTTAATGGTTTATTCGTCGAATATCATAGTTTCAGAACAATATTTAAATTCCTTTCTCAGTACATATATTTTGACATTTATATAATTTTGTGCATTGTTGGCATTCTATAGATCCATCTAAAAGCGGGCACAAAAAAAAAATTCATTGAAGTCACGATGGTGGCTCACATTGTTCTTTATTATGAACAATAAACTTAAATCATCTTTATAAATCTTAACATTGCGAAAGACGTGTACAGATGCTACCTTTAGGTTCGAAGGAACAAACCAGTAGGATCGTAACGTTTTTATCTTGTTTATAATTGACGCTGAAGGTGCTTTAAATATGCTACTAGGAATATGATCAGACTCAATATAGGCTAGGTAGAGCTCGATAAGATTATCCGAAATTTTGAACTATACTTACTGGTGAAAAAGAAAAATGAATACCTGCTTTGTTCATATTTAAAAGCTTATGAGGCGGAGCACTGTGTTAAGCTGTTACAGGTTACTTAAACCAAATGAAACCTAAACACACATGCGGAAATCTGGCGCAGAGTTAATATTTTTTAAGAAGTGATGTTAATGGGAAATGCTAACAAAAGAGGATATGCAGGAGCTGTTTGAATAGTTAACATCGAAACTTCTTTCCTGCTCAGCCAGTAATAGTTATTCTATTCTCACCAGTTCGAGGACGAGCTTCTTTTACATCTAATATATACAGCCATATGGCATAATACACACTAAGAATTTCTTCTGAAGAGTTATAAAGCTTGGTGGCAAATTTCATGAAATATTGGAACTTTCAGCACATCATAGTGGATTCTAATCGATTCCGGGACATCTCATTTGAGACGGGTCCAGCATTTGACATATAGGAGAAGTACTGTTCGTGGCTTGGGTAGAAATGAGCTTGCGGTGACGAAGTGGGCCCAAAATTAGACGGAGGGAATCCATTCATTCCGTTATTGATAAATTTTTGATAGTTGGCCTGTCTGTGGAAGTTGGCCATTTCTTGCATATTGTGTTTGCTAGGCCAATTGGGACCATTAAAAGTAAAGTTGTTGAACTGTTGAGGGGGTGCCTGTGCTATGGGGGATGGCTTTGGCGATGGATCTTGGACATGCTGTGAAGCAGGTGGCGTGGGGCTCTTTCTTGGCTTAGCTGCTGTTGGTTTAGGCTTGCTTGGGGCGCCTTGTTGTTGCTTGTTTTGCTGTCGAAACTTAGCCCTTCTGTTTTTAAACCATACCTAGAAAAGATAAGGATAGGATCAGCGATCAAAATGTTAGAGGAAAATGATTTTAAACAGTTTTCGAGTCATTCATAAAATATGGAAAGCGAGGCGACAAGATTTGGATTTACTTGGTAGCTGAGCTAAATGAATTTGCCATTACATTGAGTTGGGCCAAAAAATATAAATAATTTGTATTAAATAGAATGATTTAACATTAAACGTAAATAGTTGAAATGCCACATTATTTGAAAAAAAAAATTAAAGTCGGAAAAGTTTTATGATATTTTAAGATAAAAGGTTCAATTAGGTACATCAAATTTAAACTGTAGTAAGATTTCATGTATTCTACCAGGCTAAGGCTAAAAGCAAGATAAAATTAAAAAAAAATAAAAGCATGTAGCGTTCGGACAAAAAGCAGGGAGTAAACGTCGCGTGAGTCCAAGGTGTGATAAGTGATACCAAACACTTGAAAGGCCACCAATTCAAACAGAGCTTCCAAAACTCCGTGTCTCAACTCACGCTAACGAAAATCACGAATTACTCTATTTGTATCGCAATATTTTAGAACAAGCATCAAATTAAAGACTTGAATTACTTCTGTTTAATCAGTTTGCTTCATTTTGCTTTCTTCCATAATTTTTTCGCCGGTTTTTCACTAAAAAACATGTTTCGTGCCATTTTTCAACACGTGTTCAAAGTTGGCCCTATCTGTTCCCGACGCGGGCGTTCTGCTTTAAGATAACAACTCTTTGTAAACAAAAGAGTTAAATTCAGTAACGTTGATAAACAGAGTAATTTGTGGGTAATTAAGTACTTATAATCCGCTATCACCCAAGTAACGCCCCTTAAAAACAAAGTCAAGAAGATTTTGGGCATATCTATCATCCTTATAAAATGCTAATTGTCTCCGTAGGCCACGCAATGTAAGACATGACCAAAAATAGCTCGAAATATTTGAGAGCGACGATTAAAATGGCTAGGCGGCGACAGTCCTTAGTTGATTACAATATACATTAGCAGAGAATTAAAAGCTCACTACTTCGTCGTTTTAAGTAACGCAGATATCAGTGAAGCACACCGGTGATTCTAATGGCAATATGTCAAATTATTTGATGCGGGAAAGACGCATGAATGATTCTGTGAAAGTGGTGTGACTTAAAACTTGCTCTGGCCAATAAAATCTAAATAACAAAAGAATTAGGAAGATTCAAGAAAAGCATGAAATCTTTCAACTGTCTTGGAAGCAACACATTTTTTTCCAAGTAGGACATATCCCACAACAGGGGGCCTGGTTCTCCCAGTTACGAGAATACACAAAAAAATAATCCTTTTGTCTCAAGACGGATCTTTGCTCTCACCTGTACTCTGCTTTCCGGAAGATTAATTTTCATAGCAACTTCCTCCCTCATAAAGATGTCCGGATATTTTGTTTTAGCAAATAGCTCGTCCAGAATTTCAAGCTGAGCTTTGGTGTAAGTCGTACGCTCACGACGTTGTTTTCGTGGAGGTCCTGGGACAAAAGAGGACAACTATTTAATTAAAAAAAATTATAAAAACGGTTACATGAAGAAAAATATACTTTGTAAATAACTGATGGGATTGTGTTAGTTTGTCTTGCGTTCGATTTCAAAAAGAAGCAATAATTTTTACAATTGTCTTGGAATTTCAGCTCTACGCAGGTTTCAGTGGCTGGATCAACCACATTTAAACGGGTTCTCAAGGAAAAAGTTTCCAATTATTCTTGTCCAGTTCCATTTTGAAATATATTTATGGGGTCCAACAATCAGGTAAGTCAGACCCGACCCTCCTACATGTAGGACTTTCATTCCTTTCCGTCATTTTAGAATCCAGTTGTGCCCATCATAATTCATATTTCGTAATACTTATCCTCAACAAGAATCTTCGAGAAGCAAGCTCAAGTACTCGAGTGCTACAGCTGTAGCTGCTTACATTCAACTCGCTGCTCTCAAACTTATAAAATGGATAATACGATCCTCTTTGGGTCTTTGTAAGTGACTCTTCCTAAATTTTCAAGTAGACATTTCCACCGTTTGCCAAACATTTCAAATCCCAAGACAAACTTTTTCGATCACAAAACATAAGAAAGTTAATACCTTCAAAAAACCTTGACGTTAGACATTGGGGACAGCCAAGACACGGCATTAAACCTGGCCAAGCAAACTCCATATTGCAAGCTAACCGACTTCAAGTTTAGTTTAGTCCCAAAGCATTAGTTTATATCTGTCTTCTTATACCAAGCAAAACACGTACGAGTGGTGGGCTTGGTTATGTGATTGGGTTGTATATATCGCTTTTTGTCAGCCTTAATCTCTATATCAATTAGGAAAATAGCAAACCAGCTCTTAAGGTGGCTGTCCAATAAGGGATTATCCAGGGTTTTTCTGACAGACTCCCGCATTTGAATGGATTATAATGCTGATGCATAAAAAAATTGTCAAACTTACAGCTATACTCTCATGTGTTACTCGACGAGTGGGGAACTCATTGAGCAAACTTTGAAGAGGTAACGATATAAACGACGTGAACAGAAATAATACAAATGAACACTAACTAGTGCAATTATGTGCAAGAAAAACACTATTTTTTTTTACTCCATTCTGAAAAACTCAAGTGTTAATTCAGTTGACAATGCAAAGATTCCGGTTACTACATCATTAAAAGAGGAACCTTCATTTTCCTTTGTGACCTGATGTTTAAGAATCTCAACCAATCGTGATACTGAATTATTTCGAAACTGGAACAGCTCTGCTTGCATTTATGTTATTATCCCAGGGATTTGAAAAAACCATTGGATTAAAGTCATAAACAGGAAAAGACTAGGAAATTATGTTTAAAAAAAATCTATAAACACGCTAATAAGGTATGAAATCCTACGTGGTCACGTTATAAAAGTGGCAAAACGTGATCTTTAAGACAGAAAGATAGTGTAGCTGAGCACTGATTTCTCAGTAGAGATTTCCATGTTGTAAAATGTGAGTTTTGTAAGACGATAACAGTGATTATAATTTGTTGGGAAATTTTCAAAATGTCAAGTTCATATGTACATATCTTATGCTTTAAGGTCTCGGAGGTGAAGTTATATATTTCAGTGGAAATCTTTGAAATTCTACTTGATAAATCTAAGGACAAAGAACTTCTGTTTTAGTTGTCTTTCTATGGCTGTTCATTTTCATCAGAGACTAAACAATCCTTTACGGGAGTCAGTCGAGAACGGTTAGCCTTAAAGCCACTTAGCACAATAGGAAAGATTATCAGGATTGAGACCAAATTTATGACATCAAGGCACGCAACCAAATCAGAGGACATTGTTTATCACTGCACTCTTACCATACATCACAGCTTCGGTCGGGTCGTAAAAATCCATGCTCTGTGGACGACTGTAGTTGTACCCGTTCATTGTACAGGGTGGCAAACGTCCAAAAATACCATTCATTTCTGATCGTGTCTGATGTTCCGCAGTAACTATTGTGTAAGCAGGAGAAACTTAATGTTAGAATCACCTATTTGACCCTGTGGAAGGAACATTCTCATGTGACTTACTGGTATTGTCCTGTTTTGAGAAAGAAAAATGTCAGTGATCGATATGACAGTTGGCAAATTGACATTTCTTCTACCGGTCCATTTTGACACTTAATAAATGGCGTTATCTTTCGATAAGATGGGATAAATATGGTTATCAGTCTGTTGACGAGAGATAATCTCATCACGGGCACGCAAATTTTTAAACGGTAAGCCTCCCTGCTAAGATCTCTGTTCCGTATCATGCACCTGATGATGCACGTGATTAGAGTCACTCTCATAGTGTGTTCTTTGTTTCCCCACTGCGTGATTCACGGTTCCTTTATACTGGAAATTAACCAGCTTTAATTTTTCTGTTTCATCAAATAAAATTCACACAAACGTCTCCCATCTTCGACCGTTTTTACTCCTTTTTCGTTCGTTTTAAATACACTGAGTTTTCAAAGTATTCTCCATACTATTAAAGTATCTGATGCAGTTTTATTCATCGAAAATATGACTCATGTATAATGACGCAATTTCTTTAAATACTACCAACACCGAGAATACCTCTTATTCAATCATTTTTTTTGTTCGTTGTAACTACATCAGCTTTGCTATAGTGTCTGCAAGAAACTGTGAGAAAGAACTCCATAATTTGTAAGCGCCACATTATAGGGAAAAATAGAGCAACTGCGGCCGTATCTATTTACGATGAGTAGTTCACCATACTATAAGTGTTTTTGGAGAAAAAAAAAAAATCTTATTCGAATCTTCAAAGCCAAATGAACATAGGAAGAAAAAGAGGTAAAAAATCTTCTTTTTTATACGGAACGAAGTTCACTTTGTGATTCTCCTGCCCTTAAAAAGCAGAGGACGCTCGTAAATCTTGACACATAATAGTGCCGTCTTTCTTACGAAAGTTGCACGTCTGCCAATCGATTTCGACTTAAATCAAGTCTACACAGTGTTTGAATATAAATCTCCACGACCGTAAGAAGATAACGTACATGTTTTCACGGCTGCTGAATTATAAACCTCACCGCTAAGTGTTTCCAAAATTCTTTTACAGAAAAAAAGGAATAGAAAGTTTTCACATTTCCAAAGTTTTCATATTTTCATAGTAATGATAGTAAACCTTAGATCCCTGCGAAAGTCCAGCTAGGGAATTTGCGTTAAATATACTTTTATTACTTTATAGCTGGACAAAGAAAACCTGTTCTTAATGAGTTCAATTTCTGATTCTTCAAAAATCATGATCCCGTTGACGATTATTGTTGGTGAGATGCCAAAAGATAACATTTTATCGTCATTTTGTGGCCTCCAATGCTCGGCCTTTGTCAACGCATTGAAGACGCCAAATAAAGTATCTAAAACTTACGACGATCATCTTCAATAATAAACTTTCACAGGATATGTGTGGTTTAAAAATTTGAAACTCACTGCAGAACCATTTAGATCGTCATATATTGATCAAAATTGGCAAATGTTATGTCTTTCACCTTAAAATCTTAAGTACATTGCCACTAAAAGAGAAGTGTAAACTTTCGAGTTGTTGAGTAGCAGATGGGAAGAGCATGGCTTTTTAAACAAGTTTATTTATAGTTCTGCTTATTTCCGGACCAAATATATATTCTATGGCAAGATATCAATGGATAATTATCACGTTCTAGTTATATTCTACCTTTATTATTAGATAAAAATTTAGTTTTTCGAGAGACTATTCCCTGGAATTAATTCACTTTTCTGGCGAGTGTTGCTTATCGAATATTAGAGCAAACGACACTCGGGAAAATGTGAAGGAACATTTACCCTAAGTTCATGGTATTTGTCGTTGTCGAGGTCTGTTTAATGAAATGCTCGGGAAGAGATAAGCTGGATGAACACCAGATTAAATTAATGTCTGTGAAGCAAAGTGAACTTAACACAACGAGAAGGAAACATAACAAAAATGCGATTCGTAAATAAATTCGTACAAACAGAAGACAAGAAAATTTTACTCTTATCACGGGATATATACTAAAAACTTGAATGGGTGCAAAAAGTATTTCTCTAATTTTATTTCGCAAGAATGAATTATTTCGCAACTTCTAATGGGCGTGACGTTGTCAAAAAGCTTTCTGAAGTCAACTCATATCGCAACAGATATAGTATCAAGGAAATCTGGAGAATTCAACATTGAGCTGCAGCCAGAATAAACGAAAACGCGTACCGGACGGATAAACACATGCACGTAATCCTAAAATTTGACGTTTCCAAAAACGTCACGGAACAGACTGGCCAAACACCGGCATACATCACGTACTAAGAATGAAAACTGATATTTTTGTAGTAACTATGGAGGATGGATATTTTGCGGGGGATTTTGGCAACATTTCAGTGAGTATGTTTTAATTAGGTAACTAAGTTACACGCCTAAAACAGCCGAAGTTAATGTCAAAGGGAGGAAAAAGAAGAATGAGGAGCGAACAGAAATGTCCCTTGCATGGTCATTTCCGATGAAGACTATGTTACAACAAAAAATTTCATGATAAATTTCCCATTTCAACTATGGAATTTTTTTCAATTTTCACAAACCAAATTCAGAACTCTTGTCAATATATTTTGACTTGGTGAAACTGTCAAAAATCGCCTAATAAGCCCCAACAATTAAAAGCTAGATTATCTTTATTAAATCTCTTTAAGGGGTGTTTTTGTGCCGAAGATACTTAACTTTCTGGTCGTAAGTTTTTAAAAAATTTAATATGCACTGAGTATGCTCATTGAGACATTCTGATGATTTGTGAAGATCAAAGCCTCAATTTGAGCTACTTTGACCGACAAGTCAGAGCAATGCAATACTACATCTGAAAAGTGCTGAAAGCACTAATTGGGCCATTGAGCCTTTTAAAGTGAAAGACGTCTACGAAATTTATGTTCACATTAATTTTTTTGTTTCAGTTTACTTACCTTAGTCCAAAACTACAGGATATTTTTCCAATAAGTTACAAACTCCTTCTCATTTCTCTCTTTTCCCAACGGGAATGTGGTGTTGTTCGTTGCTAATGTTGTCTTAACTGAGAGTTCGTGCAAGCATTACAATTATCTTTGAATCAAGACTATAATTAGATCACTCTGTGACGTCAGTCAATTTAGGAAATAGTGTCTGCGAGGAACATCCACGACCGACCACATCTTCCGGATGTAGCTCCATGAAAAACTTTTCATGTTCCATAAAAAATCCAATTAGTCTTTAAAAATTTATGAGAGGATTTATGACATCCTTACTTAACCACTGCCAAGCGTAGCTTTTAAAAAACCAAAAACACCAAACAAGATAACAAATCACCCATGGCAACATATTTTGTTTAGGTACCAACTAGTAGGAGACATTGTTTACATTGAACAGTCAAGAGAACATATCCAGTGAATAGCATGGTGATGAGATTGATCCCAGGACCACCGCATTGCGAACCAAATGCTTTGGCCTCTTGGTCATGTTCCCCCCTGCTAAACCTGGAACACCTCCTCCCCTCCTCCCCGAGCAAGTTTCGCACAATCTATCCGAGTCTCTTCTGCCTTTGTTAACGTTTCGCCTTTTCTCCGCTTTTGTTTAGTTACAATGGTAAGTTATGATCAACCAGACCGTTAATAGCCTCGTAGGTGATAAAAAGGTAGATCTTAATTGCTGGTGATAGGTTGGTTTACAAAACAAAACAGAAAGACAGCCTGTTTCCCTTTTCAATGATTCAAACAAAATTTAAATTAGTAAACCTCGAACTGTGTAAACTTTGCTATCCTCTTCAATAAGGGAACCTACAATTGTGTTGTTCTTTGGTTGTGAAAATGTTGATGGGTCAAGGTTATGAGCTGTCATGTCAGATAATCCGCTGACCTATCTGTGTGGCCCCCTTGTCCTACAAACACTTTAGAATTCATGAAGAATTGGAAATAGAGAGGACCTTTTCAGTCAAAACTAACTTAACCTCTTCAATGTCTAGCCACGTGGGAACTTTGATTGTATCCGTGTGGAAAATATCAAGGTAGCTCTACACATCTTACAATAGCGCAATATTTTAGAAATAAAAAATAAGTTTTAAAAGTCCTATCTTGGAAAGATAATGATTTTAACAAGTATAAACGGAACAACTATGATTGTTTGTACAGGTTGTCTCTAGCCTTGGTCTTGGTACTTAACTGGTTTTGTCAAATAACAAGATCACATTATAGCACGTTGTAACCATCAACAGTTTTATGGTGGTAGTATTGTTCAATGAAGGCATAAGTGATCTGATACGTGCAACTCAAACGATGCCGTCATCAAAAAAAAAAAAGAAAATACTGTCGAAATTAGTATTTTTTTTTTCATAAAAATTTGTGGATTTTTTTCATTTGCCTGATTACAAAGAAAAGTCATCAACGATTTAATTTTTTTTTCTTATTTCAACTACCAGGTTCTTTTTCTGTAAAGTTTACCGAAAGAAAAGAATTTGAAAAACAAACAAAAAACCTTAATTGAAAGCATGTAATTTACCAAAATATCAGAATATTCTATCATACTTTGTAGCTTGCCTGAAATTTACCATAACTGAAGCAACTATTTTTCAGTTGCTGTACTTAACACTGTGGTTTTCCCCATTATTAAATGAGGTTATCTCAAAAATTGTTCACGGGATTTTTTTTCCCCACATAGGGAACGTAAAGATTAATTGAAAATTAACTTAAGTAACGAAATGGAATTGTGAATTCTCGGTCTCTATTCCAGTGATTGCATGCAACTGGCATTACATTAAGAAGCTAGGGTTGTGGACAAAAATTAATCTCGTCCTTCTCTGATCTCTGTTTCAGTAGTGCATTGAGTTTTGACTTGTTCACCTAAAACCTCCAATTGAACAGCAGAGAGTCTTGTAGGAAAAAACCCACAACTTTCGACTTTTCTTAATGAAACGTTCGTTATGATCAAAGAATGCCAGTTACAAAGCAAT